TATGTAAAAATATGCTATAACAAAAAAAAATAATTTTCGCTAGAAAACTTATGTTTAACTTACGGACATAATTAACTTACCCTAAGTTAAATAGTAAAATATTTTATAACTCATTGTATAATTAAAACCAAATTTCGCTTAAAATTCTTAAGAAATACTTAACAAATCGTTACTTGATGAAGCCTTACTGGTAAAACTTTACAATACTTTGTTTATACTTTAGAAATTCATAATTATAATGGTCCTTTAGCGGTGTTTGGCGGCAAGGCTGTGTACAAAGTGAGACCGAAGGCAGTCGCGGTGACGTCACCGCCTAATAAATTCACGGCTAACGGAACCCATTGTTGCGGAAAGCTTTTAGCGTCCGCCGCAAGTCACAGGCGGCAGCGAAGGACGGGAAACGGCCTGATGATTTCTTGATAATGTTTAAAAGTTGAGATCTCGTAGGATATTTTATAGATTGTCAAAGTCAATTAATTTTGTCTATAATGAACTGATAAGGCGAAAAAAAAATCTTGACAATTCGATGGCTCCTACGTAGACTAATGTAAACCTCAAATTTGCAATTTAAACTTTATTCCTTTTTAATTCATTTAATCTGTATTTCTGTGTAAACGTTAAAAAAAACTATAAATCATTGTATATTCATGTGTGATACATCGTAATTTATCCTATTAATGTTTAAAGTTTTGTCCTGCATTTGCGATTTAAATATACGATAGTTTCTTTGTTTGCATTATAACCAATATAAACGCTAAACTAACGATTTCATATTTGTTAGATAAGTTCACTAAACAAATCCCTTTTACCGTAAATCTTTTGACAAATCGCTTCCGCACGCTGCGATGTGGCGAAATCAGAAAAATTCCCTCGTTCTGGATAACGCAATATCCGGCCTCAGAGGATTTGGGATTCCCTCGCTATAGATATTGTCAAGAAAATGTCGACACAAAAACCTCTTTAAGCCTTCCACAATAGCTGATACGGCTTTATTAAGTTGTTGAACGCTATTGATAAACTTAGAGCCTTCAGTATTCTCTGTAAGGGAGGATATTAGGTTTCTTTGTTAACCTTAAGGTTAAGGCATCAAGGTTACTTGTCAATAAAGATGGCTCCTAAGTAGACTATTGTAAGTCACAATTTTGCGATTTACACATTATTTTGTGTTTTGATTAAAGTAACAATAGAAATAATTACTGTAGATTTGATTGTCTATTGTATGTTTATATTTGCTTTCGTATTGAATCGAGTTTTTCGTTGTGTCTTGTAAAATTTACGTTTCATACATACGATAGTTTACATTCTAAGTATAATTATGTAAGTTATAGTGTAAATTGTCTTTGAATGAAACTCATAAGTGTACACAATTCAGGACTGCAACTATACTTAATCGACGTTGCCTACTCTTAATCGACGGTGGAAGAAGACGTACATAAAGAGGATATTTCCTCTTCCTATACGTCTCCTTCATCTTCAAATCCATTTTTCCTTCTCATCCGTCTCTTCTATATATATTGAATAGCAGCGTAGATAAACTGGTTACAATACAGTGCGATGACATGTTGGGCATTGCTCGCTTGAACTCAGATAGCCTCAAATAATAGATTTCTTGAAAGAAAGAAATTATCTTTCATTCATCATACGTTACATTCTTCCAAGATATATGATAGATGATTTATAATATTGTAGAAAACGATAGAAATAATATTTTTTTTTATAATATAAGGTGGCAAACGAGCAAGCGGCCACCCGAATCCACCGAAATGGAAAGCGACCGCTGCCCATAAACATCCGCAATTGCAGATGCGTTGCCTACTCGTAATTAGCATAGGAAGAGAAGACGCACATAAAGAGGACATTTCCCCTTCCTATGCATCTCCTCCACCGTCAAATCCACTTTTCCTTCCCATCCTTTGCTCTCAAGAAAAGGGTGGAAAGGAAAAGGGACCAAAATTAGGCCTCCGGCACCATACTCATCAGACGAAACGCGGAATTGCTTCCACTTCACGCCTGCTTTCTGTGTGGTCATGGTATTTTACCGGGCGAGCCGGCCCATTCGTGCGAAGTTGTTAAAGCGGGCTCTACCACTGTTGAATGAATATGAATGAAAATGAATATTGACATGTCATTGATAGATTCTATATGAAGTCTAAAATTAGTAAGTGGGTTTTATGAATACTGTGGAGAAGGATGTAAGTCGAATTTTTATTTAAAAATATTGGTTGGTTTGATTTAATTATTTTAGAATTTCAACAAGCTATCTTACAAAAGTATTTTCTAAGAAATCTTTGAATAACTGTAAAGCTAAAGGTTTCTACCTAAAGCGCAACCACTTGATGTTACAATCTGTTGAAATTTATTAAAATTTCAAGTGTACTTTAGTTAAAATCTTAAAGTTAATCGATTTAGCTGAAGGTTGTCGAATTTAAGAGGTTTTAAGAGGTCGATTCTGAAATGAAACCGAGAACGACCTCTAGCGGCGGCTGTTGAGACCGGATATTGCCGGAGTTGACGAAAATATCGCTTCGGGTCTGATGGGGCAAAAGTGTTTAGTTTTAATTGTTTTTTTGATAAAGGACTTATAAAATCGTAAACTAAAAATCAAACGTTATAAACATATATACGGAAACACCGTACAATTTTCTTAAAAAAATCCACGGAAACTCTGAAAATGGTTTCGTTATTCAATGTTTTACAATGGTGTCGTGTCGTAATTGCAAAAACAGAGGTATTTAAAAACATATTCATATTTTTTAAAACACACATTACAACAATGAAAATGAAAAACAAATGCAAACGCATCTTTCTTAAATTTTCGAATTTCAATTTTAAGAATAGAACGCTAATAGAACACAAAATAGGACCGTTTTGTCAAAGAGTAACGAAGAATTCCAGACGAGTCATCTAATAGTCGTTACATTTTCTAACAAGAAAGCACAATCTGTTCCGGAGACCTCTGCCCCAGTACATGATAAGAGTTCTCCGGCCTCTTTCTCTAAATTCTCAAGTGGTAGATAGCAGAGATTTCGGGTCAATGACCTCGCACGGTCAACGGTTCTAATCATTGTCTCTCGCATTGATAACGTATTAACTCGAGTTAGCCGACTGTCTGTGTATACAAAGATATAAATGTATTTATATATTTAGTAAATTAATTAAACCTTAAAAATGTTTAGGAGCCTAATGTCGAGTCGGTTCCTATTTGTTTATGTTTGATGGTTAATTTCCAAACAAGAAAATTGCTATAACAAAAACATTTACAACTTGGATATAAACAAAGAACAGGCAAAGCGAGAAATTAATAAAACATTAAGAAAAAAGAGGAAAAGCTTCGAAATGTTATTGTGTTGTTTGTGTCAACACGTATTGTTTATCAAAAGGTCCTTTCTAAACGAACTAGCGTGTATAAAGCTTGCTTCGTAAATGTCACCGATAGAATGTAAACTTGGACAATTTGTTAACGGACTAGAGATGAACTATGTCGTCAGTTTGTAAACTGTCGCAGTGAATATTATAATTCATTAAAATTATTATTATATTTTATGATATTTTATTAAAATTAAATTAAGTAAGTGTTATAATATATTGATTTAAAACCTAAATAATCTTTATTTGAGAGAAAGGTATAAAATTTTAGTCGTCATCCCGTTGCCATCCATTTAGTATAGAGAATGGTTGTCAATAGGAAGTAGATTAGGGGAAGAAGAAGGGAAAATATCCTTTATCTGTGCGTCTCCTCCTCTGTCGATTAAAGGTAACGCATCGACAAAGTCGGATGTATATGGGCAATGGTCAATTCATAGTAGAAAAAATTTTTCAACCGACAATTTTCTAATTTTTGTAACTTACCGGTTTATAAAGTGATAAAGTTTACAACATGCTGGTGACAATTATAGACAATCCCGGAGGTGTATGACAATGGAGGCTTGTGTTTTTTTCATTAGCAAACCGCGGGAAGGCATTTTTGTTTCTTTGCGGTTATGTTTTGTTTTCAGAAAGGACGCGACGCACATTGGGCTGAATCAAGTTGCTCCATAGACAACTTTATCTGATGTTTGA